CTCCAGGGTTAAAAATAGCTCCTGGCTCTCGGAGAGAATGGATCCATCTCTTGCCTGTCTCCCTTTCTCCTCCTCCTCTTCCTCACCCAGAATGTCCTCCTCATTGTTGCCTGAGGTGGCCCCGGACTCAGACTCCTTAGAGGTATCCACACTGCATTTGGGGGTAGTGGTGGAGTTGCCACCGAGAATCGCATGCAGATCATTGTAGAAGCAGTATGTCTGTGGTGCAGAATCAGAATAACTGTTCACCTCCCTTGTCTTCTGGCACGCCTGCTGAAGTTCTTTGATTTTCATGCAGCACTGCTGTGTGTCCCTGGTGTTGCCCTTCTTCCCCATTCCCTGCGCAATCTTTTCATTGATGTCTAAATTTCTTCAGTTGGGTCGGAGCTGTGTCTGCACAGACTCTTCTCCCCACAGACCTATAATATCCACCATCTCCTGTGTATTCCAGGCTGCAGCACATTTGGGGCATTGAGTCACCATGATCAGCTGGGTGCCATAGCCACTGGGCTCTTGGCTGTTATAGGTAGTATCACCTCCCTATTACTGTTCAGTATTCACCTATTAATACATCCAAGTACCATATTAGCTCTTTTGTCACAGCATCACATTATAGCCTGGTTATCTATAATGACCATCAAGTCCTTTTCAGAGTCACTGCTTTCCAGAACCCAATCCCTTATCCTGTAAGTAAGAATGCTGTTCCTAGATGTTTTAAGATAATTTTGGTTTGAAGCTTTTGATCTCTCATGTGTCCCTGATGCTGGATATTCACTCAAATGCATAATGCAATAAACTGCTCAACCCCAAGAGATGTTATTTTGACACTGGCTGCAATTGGTAAGGCACACAAGACAAGCCTGGTGACCACTAAGGGAGATAAGAATAGGGACCTGAAAACAACCCAAGGCATCATAAGACCAGTGTAAAAGCACTTAGGTAAGTAAGTATCCAAGAGAACTGCAAAATTCAATTATGCCTTACAAATCAAGAAAGGGAAAGGAGATACTTTGGTATACAAGATTAGTCTATTGGCATTTCACCTATATTACTTTAAAATATGTTTTAAAACAGTTTCTGCAGGAAGAGTAAACAATCTTCCTAGTAAATCCTAGCTTTGAGACACCCTTGGACAAAGACTTCCCACTCCCATAATAAGAGTATTGATATGAATTAACCATAGCAAATAATATTTTAGTGTTGCAGCAGAAAACTATTAGGTGTAGAGAAATGACAGTGTAAGTTACATATGTTTATTTATAACTTTTTTTTCCTGTTGCACTAATAGAAATCTCTTGATTGAGGAATTTAAAGAACAAATTTCTGATGTGACCTGTTTATTTTATATTGTTTAATTGACTAACAACATGAAATCAATGCCTGTTAGGAATTAAACTTTAAACCTCTAATTTTTCATCCACTTTTATTATATTATGTTGCATAATTTGGTCTGGGATGGGAAAGGAGGAGAAGGAGGAAGGAAAACATATGATCAGCTTTCTCCAGTATTTACTATACTCTCCTGGAAATGCTAGCTATAAACCCCATTTCCTATGCACAGAAATACAGATCCACAGGTCATTGTCCGGATTTTTAAAATGCTTTATTTTTTAAAATCAGTTAATATGATAGATTTGCTTGACATTCCAAACTGGATGCAATTAATTCCTACTGCATAGGAGAAATGATCTATGCCAAGAATTTTATTTCATTACGAAAACGATATTATGGAGCATCTGAGATCACATACTATTCATAATAGAATGCCAGAAAAGTTCTAACTGCCAGTACCCCACAGTGAATGCCTGATTATCTACAGATGGGAAATGGAAAAATTGTAAAATTACAGAAATTTTGAATCCTGAACTCAGACATTACTTTGGTCTGTATGTTGCATGGTAAATGCCAATTATGATTTCAAATATATTCACAGATCTTGCCTTTAGCTCTTATCATCAGACACTTTTATTTCTTTAAAGTTTATTAACTGAAACTATATTGCATTCTCCTCAGTCCAAAATGAAAGCCTTAGGTGATAGCACAAAACAGATCCAGTAAGTCAACTGTCAATAGCAATGTTATTTCACGAGTAATCAAATGTCCATCAAGAAACTAATTTAAATCAATCTCCTTTGGGAAAGCCAGTTGTCCAACAAGTACAACAATTGGTCTAAGATCAATCAGTGAACACGAGATCAATTAAAACCAGCTTAAGTTTTTGTAGGGGGACAATTCATGCAACTCAAGTTAGATCTCTATTCATTTCTATACTCCCACAATGCAATCCTTAAGCTGTGTTGTAAAGCAGAAATACTACTATCACTCTCCACTGTCTAGCCAGCACTCTAAGTAGTTCCACATTTAATTAAAGACACAGTATACCCTTTGTTAGCACAGATAGTCAGGCTGGTCACTTTAAAGGACTGCTGCAGTTTTAGCCATGAATACAAAAATTTAATTCTGCAAACCATCTGTTGGAAAAACATCAGAACTAAATCATTTTACAATGTAATTTTGACCCACTCAGAAGTTTACATGTGCGTGAAAGTATAAGCCTCTTCTGCTTTGCGGTTTATTAGGACTTATTTTTGCTAAGCACTGGAGATGTTAACAGGTTTACCAATAACCTTTTGGTTACAATGTCTTATGAAATGTGAGAAGCAGTAGTTGAATTACCAGATTTTCTGTTGTTCTTAACTATGGGGGAGGGGAGAGAAGAGTGGGGAAAGTGAAAACGAATATAACTACTTAAGTTTAGATAGATACCTATAGTTGTTCTAGATGAGGGCAAGACCCAGAAAAAACAACTCTGAAATTTTGAGAGAAGATGCAGTAACACTTTTGTCCACATGGGTGCTGTAATGACATATTCCACAACACCAATAACTAATTTCTAGCAATTCCAGTTTTTGAAAACCTCCAATATTTGGAAGCAAAACAAATTAAGACTTTGTGATAATTCTCTAAAATGCATTCCTCATACAAAATCATTTCTCTGTGTGTCATCAAGGTGTACTGCAAGAAACTCACTATTTAAAAAGCAAGAATCCCTCTTAAAACTTCTTAAATTGATTTATAAAAACGAATGTGTGCCAAAATCAATTATCAATCTCCTTACATTATAAAGTGCCCAAAACATTCCTTGAGACAATATACTGAGGAAACAAGACTCTAAACTGGATTTAATGACTCCCAACCTAAACAAGTATGTATTTAACAAAATCCTATGTTAGTCCCTGAAATACATTTAGATCCTTTTTTTTTTCAACTAAAAAAATACTTTCATAGATATAAACCAATCATCCCTAACAGTATTGTGTAAAAACCTTTGACTGGTTTAAAACCAATTTACAGGGTAAATGACAAAGTAGTTTACTTCCGCTGGTAAATACAAGCTCATTAGTAGTTGTAGATCTATGCAAGGTAATAACTTCTGAAGGGTAAAATAATTTACCATGTGCAACTAATCACCACAGGCATAAGACCAGATCCCGCCTGTAAAACAAGCTCAGGCGTACTCGAGACTGAGAAGTGCTGCATCCGCTTGGCGGAGGGCATTAACTCAGTCCCGGCGTAGCAGAGCTAAAGTGAGAACAGTTTAACAGAGCAGTGAGAGGCAGGCAGAAGCGCTGTCCCCGGGATAGCCAGAGGCAGGAACATTTCTCCATAAAGCCCGTTATAAACAGATCACCTCCCAGACTGGGCAGGGGAAGAATCAGGACCTATTGACCTAGAATCACCAGCGCTGTCACGACTATCTCCTGGGACAAAGGGGAGTGTCTGGGGCTGCGGGAGGCGTTGCATGAAATTACTACGCGAACAATCAATAACCTGGTTCCTTCAGGTCCCAAGGAGAGAGGGGTCGCTCGCTCGCTCGCACACAGGCGGTTACCCGCTGGTTATCGCGGGGTCACTCATCAGCGGGGAGTGAGCGCTGGACTATGACTGTGGAGGTGAATGTAGATCACATGGCCATCAATGTACCTGCGGCTTCTAGATTCACTGCCCCTCTTTTCACCAGCACATCTAATGTCCTGTACCTGGATCCAGCCCCGTTGGAGCTGGGGATGGGCAGTCGCATCGCACACGCAATGCTCCCCTTTCACTGATGGTCTCCCGGCACCCAATAAATAGACCCCCGCCCCTGCAAACCGGGCGTCGCAGAGTACAGCGCCGGTCCCCCGTTTCAGCTCGACCCTCCCCCCGCAGCAGAGAGCCAAGTTCAGCGCCTAGTCCCACGGCTCTCGCTGACAAATGCGTCCAAACGCAGGTCGGCTGGGATTTTCAACTCCCCGCCCGCAAACGGCTAACGGGGATTTCCTCCGGTTGGGACCAACCAGCCCACGGGGTTTCTCTGCGAGTTAGCGCAGCTCCGAAACCCTGAGGGGAGCGGGGACTCAAGGCAGGGCAGCTGAGGCGGTGCCTTCTCTCGATGGGGTTTTCATCCACCTGCCGGGCAGCCGTGAGCTGCCTGGCAGCTCCGTGGGGAGGACGAGAGCGACTGCACCTCCCGGGCCAGCTCGGGGGAGCGGGCAGGACGCACTTGCTGCTCCGCAATAAGTCACTTTAGACTAAGGCTGCGCAGCGCCACGAGCGCACACTCCCTCCTCCCGGGGAGCTCGCAGGTCCCCGGCCGCGCGTGCGGGACAAGCGATCCCACCCCGCGCGTCTGGGACAAGCGATCCCACCCCGCGCGTCTGGGACAAGCGCTCCCACCCCGCGCGCGGCCCCGGACCCGGACCCGGACCCAGCCGCAGCCGGCCCCGGCTGGGCAGAGGGGCAGCCGCCAGCGGTCCGCACAGCCCCGGGGGAGCAGTGGGTGCCATGCTACTGACCTCTCTTGCTGCGTCTCCAGCGGCTGGCTTGGCAGTGGCTGTAATCCATACAGTTCAGGACGAGCAAGGCAAAGGAGAAGAGGCGAAACTGCATCCTGGGCGGCGAGGGTGGGCAGCTTCTCTCAGAGGGAACAAATCAGCCGGCTGGCGGGGCCGGGGCAGGCGCCGCGGGGAGCGGAGGTGCCAGGCTGAGCGCGGGGGGCCGCGGCAGTAGGGTCCGGTCCGGTTGCGGAGTCACCACCCGCGGGCCGCTCCCTTACCCAGGCGCTGCGAACTGGCAGCAGCTCCCAGCATCTCCTTTGATCTGCAGACAAGGAGCAGAGCGGGGTGTGTGTGGGTGTGTGTGGGGGGGGTGGGGTGGGGGGTTAGTCCCACCCTCCCTGCCTGCACCGAGGCCACGGGGATGGCAAAGCGGAGTGGAGCGGGGACGACCCGCCAAGAGCCACAACTCTGCCCCAGGTGGCTGCACTCAGAGAGCACGGGGCAGGCTCGTGGGGCGAGAGGGGGGCAGGCTCCGGCGCACGGTCCGTACCTTCAGCGCCGAGCAAGCAGCGGAGCGGCCCCTCCAGCCATCCTGCGGCAGCGAGTCAGGGAAGCGGCGCCCCTCGGCTCCCCGGGACTCTGCTAGCAACACGTGGGCAGGCGAAGTTTGGGAGCCGCTCAGCTGAGGGGCTTGGGGGCTCCGCGGGGCGGCCGGAGAGGCTGCCTGGGCGGGAGGTGAACAGGCGGGTTTTGCAACGTGCCCCTCGCCAGCCCCCCGCCTCTGCTGGGGAGCAACCAGGGGCGCTGCCGCCCCACGAGTCCGGCTGCGTCTCGCCTCCCGGCCCTTTTATCCCCGCACTCCGGCTGTGACGTGGGGGCTGCCCGCGGGGCAGACTCACCCTCGCCCTCCGCAGCCGGGGCTGTGCGGGGCGCGCCAGAGGGATGCGCTGGGGGCTGGAGGCTGCAGTAAGTAGGTGGTGCTGTGGTCCACAGCATCTCAGAGCGGCCCCCGCGCCCCTTCTGCCAGGTCCTAGCGCCGCGGGGCGCTGTGGTGCCTCAGGGTCCTAAAGCCCTATGCGTGGCAGCCTCCCTCCCCCGGGTTTGAATGGCAAACTCCTCAGCTTAGAGGGTCTCCTCCTCCGCAGGGGCCTAATGCAGGAGCCACTTCTCCTCTCCCGCTCCTCTCCAAAGCCTGATAGCTCCCCACCCCGTACCTGCTGCTTGTGGTTGTGGGCAGATGTTGGCCGCACAAAGAATTTCCCATTTCTCTACCTATGTCCAGGCAGGGTCCTACAGCCTGATAGATCATCTCCTCCACCCCTTCCTCTGGGGCTCTTAAGGCCTGGGGCCTTTTGCAAGGGAAGGATCCAAAGCCCTTTAAGTCAATGGAAATTCTCTCCTTGGTGTCAATATGCTTTGTATAATGCTTCAAGTCTCTACACAATCCTGGAGCTTCTCCTACAGCCCCTCCTCCCAAGTCCTTAAACCCAGAGTATCGCCTGGTCTACCACGTCCTCAACCCACCTTCATCTGTTCCCGTTCTTCCCCAGACTGAAATCCTAGTTCGTCTCCTCCTCTTTCTCTCCATTCCTTCAGTATCCAAAAAAAAAAACCAGGTTCATCTTCTTTGCCTTGTGGTCTTTTCCTCCTGCAAACTGCTTACCTGGGAAAAGTCTCCAAGGGCAAACTAAGTATGATTTGGTGTTCCGGGTGCATTATAAAAACAATCTCCGGCTGACTCAAGATTTTCAGTAAATTAGGCCCTGATCCTGCAAGCTGTTTTGCAAAGGTGCACTTCCATGTTCGAAGAGAGCCTCACTAAAGTCAGCAGCCAAGCTCTGCGCAGAGGCTGATCTGTGTGGAACACCTTGCAGGATCAGAATAATGTAAGCATTCTGGAGACCTCAAGCATAATCAATTGGAATAATGTGCTTGCACAGTATTGAACCAATTCATTATTTACCAGTCTGATTTCTTATGTTTTTACAACACTTGAGCTCCATTCATTCAAAACTCAGCTTTATGTATAGTGTGCTGACTGAAAAAAGATTTCCTTCCACACACCCCTGTAGAGAAGCCAAAATGCTGCTGCTGTTGCAATATAAAGCAATTGAACCTTTACATGCTTTATGGGGCTCCACAGAGCATGATCTTGAAGAATCTTAACTTCACTACACAGAAGAGGCAGTTCTTAAAATGAATGATACCAATATTTGTATAATCAAAAATTCCTATATTATAGTATATTCTTATAGGAGACCCATCTCCTGTGTGCTGAAGTCTTAATAATTCCTAAGCATGATACTTTCTTGGTGTGATATAAAAGTCTCTGTTGACTTACATTGCAGTGAATGAGACAGACCTTTAATCTCAGTGAAAGCAGGGAGTGGTTTAAAGAGAATGATATGCTTCCTCATTCTATGAAATATTGAAATGCTGTACTTCTAAACTTTAAAAATAAATATATGTCTATATAAACCATCTTCCAACATCTTACCTGTCAATCATCCTTTGCCTCCTCGTCCAAATTCATCATTCCATAAAGCCCACTGGCCTCATGCATCCCTCAAAACGTGATCTCCTCATTGATATCACCTCTTGCTATCCTATGTTTGAATTGTTATCCTGTGTATTTTCTGCTTGTCTGAATTAGGGCCTGATCTTCTAAACCACTTTCTCTGTGGCATAATGAGCAGTTTGTCCAATAATAAGTGTCAATGAGTCTATTCAAGGTAAGAGACACCAAGGGTCTTCCTACTGACTCAAAAGCCTGTCAATCAGACCCTATGTTCTGCAGTGTTTGCAGTATGATGGAGTTAGTCTATAAATACCTTGAGGCAGGTACCTTGACATTTGTGTATTTATTAAATCCCTATATATTTAGAGCAGTGTATATACACTAAATGATAATAAAAGTATGAAGTCCCTAGTTAAGTGGAGAAGACTGCCCCACACAATAACACAAATATTTAAGGAGTGTAGGTAGCATGTTCTCAGAACCTTAATGGCCATAGGTTAGTTATACAACTGTGCAAAAAGAAATCTCTCTCTCTCTTGGTTTTAAAGGAAGGAAAACGACTCCAACAGTTCTATTATTTAATTTCAAGCTACAAAGGAAATATTTTCTTTTATGAAAAACCAGTGAAGCAAGACCAGGCTTAATTCTTCTATCTTCTGTCATACCCAATACTCTGTCTGGTAAAACTATTCCCATAAAAATGTATTATCTCAGCAAAAACACCCAACAGCTTAAGCAGGGCAATTGTAGAGACAGTTAAGGAACTGTGAGTGGGGGTAAAAAAGATATCGAAATAAATCCACATATATACTGAGCAAGGGAGAGAGTGCCTGCCCACTTCCTAACAACTCTCCTCTCTGAAATACACACACTTCATTTTCTGTCTCTCTGTTATTTGTCTCTGTATCAGTTGGGCCCAATCTTGTACTCTTTGCTCAGGCAGAACTCCCAGCAATGTCTATGAGTATTTTGCCCGGGCAAGGAGAGGCTATGTATGTATGTATGTATGTTTTCATTAAGGCATAGAGAAGCAGATGGAAAGAGGGATAACATCTCTAAAATAATTGTTGTAGCTCTCAAATTTAATTTTCACTTCTTTCTGTGAAAAGGAGAGACACCATATAAAAAATAATAAGAAAAATATGCTCTCAATGATGCGTATCCTCCTCTTTCAAACTGGACCAGTACCAAAGCACCAGTTCCAGTCTGCTAGCTAGGGACACCCTACTACTCTTGGAAAGTACCAGACCCAATTTGCCAGTATTGGGATATCATTAGCCAGCTTAGAAACCAAAAAAATGACAGAAAAATCAAGATCCACTGGCCCAACAGGACTTTCCTTCCATTGATTTGGGGTATTTTTGTTTCATTGTAACTATAGGATATAGGAGCCACACCATTTGTATAATAATCTAAGAGTTGTTCTAACATGGCATAATAGGACAGGCCCTGCAGAGGGCTGCAGAGGACAAAGGTGATATTTGAGCTATTTTTGCACTGCATCCCCTTACTTGCCCTCTATGCAATTCAGGTGGGCCCCAGGCCTGGCCCTTTGTCTCCCAAAAACCTATACAATAACCCACATGTACAACTATAGCTAGATTTTATTTCTACTTTGCATTCATTCTCTGTCTTTGTTGTCATCTGTACATTAGAACGAGAAAAAAAGACATCAATAAGCAAAATATTTAAAAAGCGGCACTCTCCACAAGACAGCATGCTCTTTCACTCCTCACATGGGCTGTTGGAGGAGTAAGGAGCAAACATGAGTATAACCCTGCAAACATAAGACCTTTCCCATCATGGGGATGCCCCTGAAGGCCAAACTTGGCTGTGAAGACAATTCCTGTTAAAGAGGAAAGCGAGTCAATTAAGCCTTTATTTAAATGGATCTTTAAAGTAAACCCTTAGTAAATTACTTTCCTGTGGAAGAAGTGTTGCTCAGCACTGACATGTTTTGCTGGGACAGTATACTCAACAACTTCTCAATTACATAACCACCTACCTTAAGTAACTCATTGTCAGAGATTGTCTGCAGTCAAGACTCAGAGGCCTTTAATTAGGCCACGAAGGAGGCAGTGGAGTGGATACAGCACTGGACTGAGGTCTGGATTTTATTTTTGACTCTTCCACTGGTCTGCTGGGTGACTGTGGGCAAATCACTGTACCTCTTTTTGCCTCAGTTTCCCCATCTGAAAAAATAGTGACGATTATACTAACTTTCTTTGTAAAGTGCTTTGAGATTTGCTTAGGAGAAGCCCTATATAAGAGTTAGGATTTGTGTGTGTTTATAATTAGTTGATGGTTCATACAGTGGTTTGAAAATGTAAAGTGCTGTTTAAGTAAGTATTATGATACTGAGCACATGCTTACTCAGATACAGCAATTTTGCAATAGAGTAGTTGCAGTATTTTGTTGGACTACACAATGATTATGTCTGCCAAATGATAATAAAGAGGGGAGTTTGAAAGGAATGTTGGACAGTTAACAATACTTAAAGTCCTAACATTTTTTAGTTACATCTTTGGTGAGTTAAAATCTCCATTTAAATCAGAACATATCATCGGGTGGCATTGCCATAATCAGTGAACATTACAGTGCATGCTGCTCCATAATTTGATTATTCATTGTCTTATTTATCTAACAAAGCTCATGTGCAAAAATATAAACATACTTAACTCATTATTAATGTTATGGCCTTTCTCACTGAAAAACTCCATCTCTCTACTCACACTTAGCTGGAGAGAAAGCCTGTCCTCGACAGATGAGTTTTACATCACAAGATCAACAGCCCATGACACAAAGAGAGAACAAACGTAGGTGCTTTACCCAGGGCCGGCTCCAGGCACCAGCCCACCAAGCTTGTGCTTGGGGCGGCACCTGGAGGGGGGCAGCGCGGTGCTCCAGCTCTGGCCGCCGGGGAGAGCGGAGCCCCGGCTGGGCTCTCCGGCCTCCCCCCGGCACTCTGGCCGCCGGGAAGAGCGGAGCCCCGGCTGGCACTCTGCCCTCCACCCGGCGCTCTGGCCGCCACTCCGTGCTCCCTCCGGTGCTCCGGCCACGGGGGAGAGCCGAGCCGCAGTGGGCTTTCCGCCCTCCTCCCAGCGCTCTGGCCGCCGGGGAGAGCGGAGCCCCGGCTGGCACTCTCCCCTCCCCCCGGCGCTCTGGCCGCCACTCCGTGCTCCCTCCGGTGCTCCGGCCACGGGGGAGAGCCGAGCCG